CCCCAAAACCCCAAAACCCCAAAACCCCTTTAAAGGGGGTCAATGTTGAGTTTTAATTACTTTGGAATATTATGTATTGAAGTTCAACACCATGGGAGTTGATAAGTAAGTGATTTAAGAGGGGAAAATAGTGTCAAAGATATTCTTTCCTTCCTTGAAACGTGAAGGGTAGTTAGTTAGATTTTGTAGATTAGCTTGTAAGCTAACTTTTTAAATGTTAATGAGTCTTTATCCAGAAATTCTCCAGAAGAAAACTATTTGAGAAATTAAATTTTTTAAGATCTTGGTAAAATTAAAGACGCGTATCTTGGCGAAGATGTATATATTTCAGTGTATCATTAGCTTCCTGTTTGTTCAATTTTTAAGAATAAATCTTTTAAACTTGCACATGAACGAAGCATATTTCTCTAAAATCATTCATTTTCAGTGAATTTAATGCACTTTGATATGCTTATCATTTACTCTTCATGGCATTTTGTTACTAAAGTAATGATTAATTTTCTTTAGATATTTATACTGCTCCCACTTTGCCTCAAGCACAATATCAGAATTCTTACTCTGTAAATGCCCACTGAGCTAACCCTAATGAAATTTTTGCAAAAGGAGAAATTGGTGAAAAGTCGCAATCCAAATCTAATTACTCAGTTTGGAATATTCCAGAAATTTCTTACATCAAAATTCCTGTATCAAAGGATCAGGAGTTCAATTGCAACAACTCTCAGCATACGAGTCTAAAGTAAGTTTGCAGTCAGTTTGGTCTTCTCTTCTCATGATGTATTATTAATTGATATTTAGCCAAAAACTCATCCAAGGAGACTTCCAAAACTCTAAATCTACTTCTCTACCAACCATCAAGCTCTCTTACATCTCTAAACTTATCGGAGTTATGCTGCTGGTCTGTCTGATGGTTACCTGTATCATCAACTTAGCAACTCTCGGTGATAGTGTAGATGAGGATCTTAATGGCAAAGCTGCCATTTTCTACAAGATCTCAGAGCCTAAGTCTATTGGAGAAATGTCAGCATTTGATGTGAGAGTCAAGAGTTCTTTAGGTCAATCAGAGCTTTCTCAACACCAGACACTAGTTATGAATATTGACAAACCTAATACAGACTCAACTAAGTCATTTAAGGGGAATGAAGAATCCTCTTCTGAAGAGAACAACACAGGCATTTTTGAGGTTGGATTTTCTATCATTGCAAACAAATTGGATGAGTTAGCTTCAAGTCTTACTAGAGGAAGACCTCTGACACCTCCTGACACTTTAGATAATGAAGTATTTTCAGAAGAAGTAAAGGCTCCTCTTAGAGTTCTATATGAAACTTTTGATGATGAAACAAAGTATATATTTAGAGATGAAATTTACCCATATGATGGACTTCCATCTGTCTTAGAAGTAAAAGATGTTTACTCAGATTCAGACACTGACAATATGGAATATCCAAAGCATTGAGATATCGATGAAGTAGAGTTAGAAAGGGACTATATGAATAGAGAAAGCTCATCACCATGGATTCTGAAGTATTAAAGAAAATAATTTTCAATAAGATACACTTCTGTTCAGTTAATCGTATCTTTATCAATATTTTTAAAAGGCAAAAAAACTACAAATCTTCTAGAAATTTCTAAGTCTCTTAAGTTAAGCTCTTGTGTTTAGCTTTCTAACAACACATAGATACATATTGAGGCTTTATTTTCTATAAACTCTTGCTACATCTTCGGATCATCAACTAAATTGCCTTAATAGATACATTTTGCTTTGAGAATTTCCAGACATATTTTTTGTATTTGGTTTAAGTCAATGCAATTGTATTATTAAGGGGTTTTGGGGTTTTGGGGTTTTGGGGTTTTGGGGTTTTGGGGTTTTGGGG